GAGCTGTCAGGAGTCATTTTCGGACATGAAGTAAGTTTAAGTGTGCAACCTGATATATATCGGTGCACTGCTTTACCAAGTTCGATCCATAAATTTGTCATGGATAAAAATGTGCAGATAACATGAGTTGCGATATGTAGAATTTGTTTAAATTAGAGGCACTCTTACAGATATTCTGATTTGAGATGTCGAAGGACACCTTAAAAAGCACATGTGCTTCAGTGGACTATAGTATATAATCTTGCACTGAAATTAGAGGTGTCCCAACAAGGTACTAGATCCTGTAATTCATTTTGAGTTTTCTAGCTAAAAATTATAATTTTGCTATAATTTTGTTCTATAATTTTTATTTTTAATATTGATATTATATTCATATTACACTTAAATATGGAAGGTTTCAATTGTTTGCTACAATTTCTTCTTTACGCACCAATATTTTCAGTCATCGTCATCATCAATAGGCTTTCATTTGAAAATATTTCAATGCATTCCTTTGGGTGACAATGGTCCTCCAATTCTTAACCTTCAGTACAGCAAAATCTTTTTCAACTGCGTCTATCCATCGCAACTTGTGTCGTCCTCTTCCTCTTTGTCTCTGTCTTTGCTAAAACGAGTCTTTTTACAGGGTTTAAATCATTCTTTCTAATATATGAGCTGTCCAGTTTAATCTATTGATCTTAATAAATGTTATATTATCTGGGTCTTTATAGCCTTTATAAATTTCTGCGTTGTACCGTATTCTCCAAAACTCACTTTCCCTAGCACCTCCAAGAATAACCCTTAAAATCTTCCGCTCAAATGGGTCTCATCAGATCTTGCCAAAGTCCAAGTTTCAGAGTCATAGACCAAATAGGTCTAATAAGGGTTTTATATAACAATTTAATTTTTCTGCTTATGAATTAATATTGTCAATGGGTATACATATATTTCTCTAATAAAAAAAATTATAATTATTTTTATGCAAATTATGATATATTCCATGTAATTTTAATGTAATGTATTGTTAATCTTCTCGCAGAAAATAAGTATAAACAAGTAATATAAAAAAAAACTTTTTTTAAGTCAATTCCTACTTTTTTTTTCACTCTATTGCAGAAAGTCCTTTATAAATAATTAGCATTCATTTTTTAAAGTTTATTTGGCACCCTCTATTGGTAGATACATGCAACTTAAATATAAAAAAGAACTAAAATTAATTAATTAAATTTAATTACTGAATTAATATTTGAAAAAACTGTATTAACAACCAGTGTCATCCACTAAAAGTTCAAAAAAATGCATTTGAACTTGAGTGGATGAATAACAAGTATTCTATTGACGATAAAAAATTTGAACAAGATATATATAGGGAGAGTGTGAGCTAATAGAAGGAATTGAAAAAGATTCGTCTATTAGAATAATTCAACTAAATTATTTAATATTGACATCTGATGCAAAATATCAATCATAAATCTTCATTATAATTAAAGAGTGTTTCCTTATTCCATTATTGATTACAAATCAGAATAATTAATTATAATCTAGAAAAATCCTTTAATTTAAAAAAAAAGTTTATTAGAAATATTATTTAAATTTTAGTTTGTGATAAAGTGCTCCGATAATTTACGGACATTTTGAAAGAAACTCAACGGTAATTACCTCTACTTTATGCAGTGAGAATTACCGAAGACATAAATGAATATTTAATTAAAATATCTCATATTAAGTGGTTTTCATGTAAATGGATTTCACTTTTTGTATCAATATTTAAATTTTATTAAATATATTTTATATCATATTTTTTAATTTTGTATATTTCTCAAAGCGTTTACAGTTTATTTAGCTAAAAAATCATAAAGATATGCAAAACCTAATTTTTTATTTTAATCAGCTCAGTAACTATACTAATTTGCAGAATATTTTACAGAAATAATATCAAACATTCTTTTATGTTAAAATAGTATTTTTAAAATTTATTATTTGGTTAAAATTTTGATAACAAATAAAATTTTTATTTTATTTCATCTATACAAAGGAAAAAACCCCAACATGTTAAACCTTTATATGGAAATAAATAAATGTTTATATTAAATCATTCTTTATATATTAATTTCACGGTAATGATAAAATGCTGGTGTATATTCATTTCCATAAACAGAAAAGTAAATATTCAATCAATTTACTATCAAGTGTAATATTATATTAATTACTGCTAATCACAGAAAGATCAGCTTTAAAAAAAAGACAAAATTTACAAATTTTGACAAGTATTTAAATAACTTTTACTCAATTTCAAATTGAGGTGTCATGAAGAATCAATGTTGATTCACCAAGGTGGTGACCTTATTGTTAAAAAAGTTAACAAGTTGTCAAAGCGTAGATTTTAGTTCGGCTTATCGCTGTACCGTCCTTTATTTGCTCATGTTAAGCTAATTAGGCATGGACCTACAGTCTAATGTAAATTCAGAGCCACAAACAGACATTCAAGACACCTCCAGGATTCGAACCTGAAACCTGTGGTAACAAAGGCCAGAGCGCCACCCAATTGGCCATCAGGCCACTGTCAAAGAGTAGAAGAACAAATGTATTAATATCGTACAAAAAATGTAATATGTTATTGCCAAGTAGAATTATTGATGTATATGAAAAGTTGGATATTATTGCTGAATTATCAACAGTTATCAAAGATTAAATTTCAAAATTAAGTTATAACAAAAAACTCCCACTTATATACTGGCAAGAGCGCCGCCTATGGCGTTCAGGAGAAATGGTCAGCAGGCCTGGAGACTCTCACCAGAGTGGAAGTGCTGCGCAATCCGTGCTTCCGCTGAGAAACATTTAGTTTACAGTCTCTCATCACCAAAGTGAATATATTTAGCACAACCTTGTCTAATAGTTGGCCTACAGACTGTCACTCGGAGAAGAAGGATGTTTCGTGCATCCTCTGATTACCCGAGTATCGAGTTTTCAGCTTAGGAGTGGAGTCCTTCCCATAATATATAATTATATGTCTTTAAATGTGTTAAATATTGTCTGCATCTAATTGTATGTGTGTGGTTATTGGGCATGTGTAAATAAAGCTGTGTGTTTTCCAACCTGTGCCACAACCCACCTCCCCTAGTTACAATCCAGTTGCATAACCTGCACACTACAAATGTAATTAAAAGATTTATTTTTATGGTATTAAGCAATGTTTATTTATTCCGGAAACAAACGAGAGAATTTTTTTAACATATCAATTGATAAATACAGTTTTTCATTCCTTTTCCATTTTAGCGACATCTAAAGCTTAAGAACTCATTGATAACAAGTGCAACTTATATATGCTTAAAATATTGTCTACAAGTTATTCCAGATCTTTACACAGAGCAGAAAAACCTGAAGTAAACTTTAACATAGACAAAGAGAAAACATGACGCTTGAAGCCATGTAAAATTCTAAAGTTTCATTTACTGTCAGCTCCATTTTTGAAAAGCTGACATTTTTATTACAGAAACGAAACTTTTCATAAAATGTTTGACTTATTTTGAAAATAACATTCTTTTTGTCTTAAATGGGAGCAATTTTATTCACGAGTGATGAGCACTGTGTTGTTTCCAAAGAGTTTCTTGCTTTAGGGTTATTTACTTCATCAAAAAATTTTTTCCTCCTACAATCAAATATTTGACTAAAGATAGGTGTAATTATATCGAAGAATCTTTAATTTTATGATAAACTGTGAAGTTATGGTTGCAGAAAAAGAATCTAAAAAAAAAAAAAAAAAAAAAAAAAACTCTTTTATTTAAAAATGTCATTAGTTTCAGCTGTATCTAAAACTTAAGGACAGAAAAAAATGTACTTAAATAAATATATTTTTTTTTTGTTAAAACTTATCCAATTAATATTAAGAAAATCATCCAATTAGTTAAAAACTATTTCTTCTTACTTTTTTGCAAATTTTTATGAAAGGTGTCTAAGTCAGAGTGTAAAAAAAGTACTTAATCTCTTCTTATTTTTTTTAAGTGCTAAATTCTTTTTCACCACTGTAATTAATATAAAGCAAATGACTGAAAAATAATTGAAATTAAATCATTCCGTTGAAGTAATTTTTGCTTCATTAAGTTTATATCAAGCTTGCCATCAGTTTTAATCTTTAAATACAATTAACAAAAAGGGAAAATATATGACTTAGAGTAATTCTAATCCATAATTAGACTTTTTTTTATTTTAAGGATTAATTATAATACGCAAAATTACACCTTTTTATTTAAAAGATTAATTATAATACACAAAACTAAATTAGGCCATCAAATTAAAGTTTTAGCATTTAGTTTCTCTTAGAAGGATTATTAACTCACAAGTGATTAGTAAAATAATGCGTGAATTGAATAAATAATTAAACTCACAAATGAATTAAAATAATTTATTTCGTTTATATTATAGTTTCACTTCTTTAAAAATTATTTTTGTGTATTTTATTATTCAAATGATTCGCCCATTATCAAATTTTATATTGTATTCGACGAAAATGATTTGGATATTGGATTAATCGGATTTATTGATATTGGATATTTCGATTTATTTGATTAATTACTTAAAATACTGCTTTTCCTAAACAGTGAAAAACTGCTAAATGGATTTAATAAGATGATTTGCAATTGGCAGATGAAAACATAAAAATTATTTTGACTTCTGTTCGAGTGGTTCATATAGTTCTGATAAAAAAATTGGAATAAATTGGAAATTTGGAATAAAGAAAAATATTTTCTTGGTTTAGTATTATTTACATTTTACAGGCTATGAAAAATAGTTTTAAGGTATTTATAACAATTTTTATTTAGGCAAATTTGCTTTCATACATATAACCAAATTTCATAATACTTGTTTCAAGAATTTTTTTCCAACAAAGCTTCAAGCGTTTAACATTCAGCATGTTCAGTATTTCGTTTAATCATAAAGTTAACAATTAAATATTAAAAAAAAAAAAAAAAATTCAAAACTTCTTATTTATTGCTAACCAGATGTACGTTATTATTGGCGTCAACGGCCATACCATGCTGAATACACCGGTTCTCGTTAGATCACCGAAGTTCAAGCATCATTGGAGCGAGGTCAGTACTTGGGTGGGTGACCACCTGGGAACACCGCGTGCCGTTGGCATTCACAAATTTGGGACCTAAATGGCTGAGTGTCTAGCGCTCTGGCGCTCGGTGCCACAGGTTTCGGGTTCGAATCCCGGCTGTGCCATGGATGTTTGTAGTGGTTCGGAATCCACTTTAAACCGTAGGTCCCGGTCTCCCATGACTGTAAGAGCGTCACGGAGCCAAAGTCAGACTTCTACCTACGGGTGCTCCATCACAACAGAAGCTGCTTCCTTCCCCTTCAATCATGAGTACGTATGGGCTCGTGGGCTTGGCCAGCCAAGTGGAATAAGAAACAAAAGCAACGTTATTATTACTTCTTATTTCTTTTTCACCCTAGCTCAGAAGTTTGACCTTTGCTGAACCATAAATGCTTGTTTCAAGAATTTATGGTTCAGCAAAGCATCAAACGTTTAACATTCGACATGTTCAGGCTTTCTTTTAATCATAAAGTTAACAACTAAATATTAAAAAAAAAATTTTTTTTTCAAAATTTCTTTTTTATTGCAAACTAGATCTATGCTATTATTATTTTATTTTCATCCTAACGCAAAAGAAATTCAACTTTGTTGAACTATTCATGCTTGTTTCAAGAATTTATTATTTATTTTATGACATTACCAAGACAAGTTTCCTTTCTAAAATTACTATTGCTTTGTTATTGCTGCTATATATTTATTTTAATATAATCGCTGTTGTATATTTAATTTTACTGGTGTTGCTAAATAATAGGTTAAATATGCAAACCTATTTGGATCCACTTATAATTATAGATATACAGTTTCACTCATGAATGTAAAAAATTCGATAAATAGAAATTATTTAACTTATTATTTATTTTATTAGATTACCAAGACAAGTTTCCTGTTTAAAACTACTATTGTTTTGTTATTGTTACTGTATATATATTTTAATCCACCTATATTTATGGACAAACATTTTTAAGCGTTAATCTGAAAAAATTCAATAAATAGAAAATTTTAACTTATCACATTTATTTATTTTTTTATTCTTCAAAAAACTCGAACAGCAGACTTAAGGTCTGTACATCCTGATTGAGTGACTTGAAGATAAAACTAATTGTAACAAATTTGTTATTATTTCTCTTGTAAAGTTTAACAATTATCTTGTAAAATATAACCAGCAAACAAAAAGAATTGAATCATAAGTAAAGGTTTATAAAATCAGCTTTTTAAAAATTTATATTCAATTATATATTCAAAATATTGATTTATCCAAATATCCAATAATTCAGCAAAATATTTTTATTGAGATAAAAATATTTTGCCGTTTATTATTTATATACGTAAGATGCAGGTTTTTAACTATTAGAACCATTTTTATTTTATGCAATCCACCAATATTATTTTGATGTAAATCGTTTAAAAAGCAAAAAGAATATTATAACATTTATAATAAGCTTACTTTAGAAATCTGCATACATATTATTTATAAATAATCGTGACATTAATTTCAATTTTAGATAATTCTCCTATGCTTTAAGATAAGTAAGTTCTGTTTTCATTTGAATAATTTCTTGATAGGTTACAAGAATACTAGTCTACTATTTAAATTAGTATTTTCATGTAACAAAAATAAATAACGCATTTCAATAAATTCGTAACATTTTGAATTTTTAATATTCTTCGAGATTTATTATTCTATATTCTTCTCAATATTTAGAGGATTAATATTATCGTACTAATATTCAGTCTAAAATATTTCATATTGTACTGATATTACTGAATATCATTTTGTATTTTATGGCTTTCAATTCTATTATTGCTGAGATAATTGATTTTTTAATAGACTTATTGCAGTAAGGCTGCTATTTAAAATGAATACGGCAAAACGTAGGTTGAAATATATCGTCTCTACTACCAAAAAATAATTGTAACTGTATATAAAAAAATTCTACGTTTTTGTAGGAATACTGAAATGAATTTTTGTTATATGTATACATATTTAATAGTAAATAGATTTTTTTATAATAAGTATTTTACTTTTTCAACGGACTGTCTTAAATGTAAGTATTTGGTGGTATTTTATGCATTCAACTAATATTATTTTAAATAATATATAAATTCTTGAAAAAGCTAAAAGCATGTTATAATATTTAAAATAAGCTTAACTTTAGAATTCTTCATACGCCTTAATAATCATCGTGAATTTCATTTAAGTTGTAAAATGTTCTTTCCCATACTTTAAAATAAGTAAGATTTGTTTCTCATTTTGATTATTCGTATTCGATAGTTAGAATGAATACCAGTTTAATCTTTAATTTAGTGATATAGTATAAGAGATAAGTGATATAGTTAAAGATTACATTCATAGTGTTGTGTTAAGGTAGCATTGCGTTCGAATAAAGTATTACTATATATGGAATAAACCAAAATATATCAAATTAAATTATAGTATCAAATTATATTAAAAAAATATTTACTACAATATTGTATTTTCAATTAGCCTATGAAGACAAATGCTTAAAAGATCACATAATTACTATAGTTTACTGCACCAGAAATACACCGAGGAAATTAAATTCAGCTATAAAAATGTAAGATCAGTACACTTTATTTTATACTTAAATATTTTTATTTTTTAACTGTAACATTTGTTAATATTTTAATTCTACTACAATAATAATTGAATGGGCCTGTTCGTTGTTATTTTACTTTCTATTTATAACTTTAAATTTCCACATTTGGTGTATACAAAAGAATATTCACTGACTCTTGTTGGGATTCGAACATAGACCTCTCTGTTCATAACGTACACTCCTAGCACTAATCATTATGATGCTCGCAGTCTGTATTTAGGTTATATTCTTAGTGTCTTGTAATTTTTGTAATAAAGTGAAATTTTTATCATTATATAATTCATGTGTTGTGATGGCATAGTATTTTACGTGTGTCCGTTGGAAGGGGTTATATGATGATCAGTTGATCTTCCGGATGCGAATCCAATCTGTACAAAAAATGTCCATAGATATTTCGCCGCAGCTAAGATTGAACGTGATATCTTTGTGAGGTGTTTTAATTAGCGGAGTATTGTAAAACTTCAAAGCTCCAGATGGTCAAGAGCAAAATTTTATTAAGAAAGCTAAGACTTGTGAAGTCATCTATGCTCTCATATTTATTGATGAGATGTCTGTCAGATTTTGGGGGAAAATGTACAAGTTTACAATACAAAAATGTACAGTGTTTCGGGAAAAATGTACAAAAAGGACCAGTTGCCTCTTCGATCTGTTTAAATATCGGCATTCACCCCACCAATAAAAAGATCTATAAGCCCAGGGATGGATTTTATGAGGAAAATCCGGCGAATAATAAGTAAACGGGCGTGTGGTGTGAAAAGACATAAAATCAAAGTTGCTGAAGACATGGAGAAGTGAATCGATGGAGACAGAGAAGACGGACAGAAAAAGAGAGTGAGTTATCCCGAAATGGAGCTCTGGCAGTTTCGAAAATACAAAGGTACCCACTTGCTGACCCCTGCACGAACTTCGAGAGTAAATGACCAGATTAAGATGGGAAGTCCAAGGAAGTCCCAATTAATTAAGTCCAAGGAAGAGCCCTATTTGGGTTTGCTATCACGTCTTCAGACAATGGTGCTAAACTCCATTCGTCACGATGCCTATGTTTCCCATGCTGCCCGTTGAAACCATCATCAATACATGTATGCCACCTTGTTTTGGTAAAATTGAACTCAATTTTGGAAAAAGCCCCATTTTATCACCAGTAGCTGCCGTTATCAGGGAATGGAATGCTGGTGGACCATGCACCTGAATTATTTCTGAGATGTTGAACTCATGCTTTTTTATTAATTGTTATTGCGGTAAATTGTAAATGTATTATATTTGATTAATGCTTATTAAAAATCATTTGCACTATTGTAATATTAGTTGCAAGACATATTTTTAAATATTTAAATTAAATTTATTTATATTTTAAGTTGATTTTGATTTATTTCATATGTATGCGTTTCCTTGTCCAACTTGTATAAGACTCTGTAGGTATTAAATAATGCAGGTTTATATGTGTTATGTGCTATTGTGGATTTTAGTATTATTATTAAATGCGTTATTGCAGAATTCTTAGTGTTTAATATGCGTATTTGTAAGACGGTTTAACAAGTTCGTTTTAGGTACGAGTTATAATAATTTATAGTTTAAAGACCTAAAAAACACCACATTAGGAACGAATTAATTATATTTTTTTAATAAACGGAAAATTGTACTTTTTAATTGTTGATCCTATCCTGAATCCTAACTGTATTTTTTTAATTTAAAAAGAATTGTATTTGATATTTTTTGATGTAAGAATATTCCTACCATTTGGAGAAAAAAAATATTCTTTCTTGTTTGTTTAAGAGAAAATTAAATTTTAATATGCAGTAATTTTTTTTTCGTTATTAGTTATAATAAAAAAAAGCAAAGACTTATGGAATCTAGCAAATAAATTTATTAATTTTAAGGAGAAATTTCGCAGTTTTAATAAGCTTATATACACATAGTGATATTGAATTTGCGTACTCTAGTCATGCTTAAAGCAACTCGATAGATTCTGCTCTTGAGGCGTTCGTTTCACTCATTTTAATTAATCTTTCAATGAAATTACTAATTTTCTATCAGGGTGAAGTAAACAATGCCAAAATGGAGGTAAACAATATTAAGATGGAGTAAACAATTATACTAAGTAGCAAGTCATTGTGACAATATATCTTGATATTTCTCATCACTCCTACGGATGGTTATTAAGTAAGATCTCAAAATAAATTATCCGTTACATGTATAATAAACATGTGTTTAATTTTAATTAATTGTGCCCTTAAAGCATAAAATGTTTGCTATATTTTATTTAGAAAAATGACTGATGTGTTTATCATATATAGAAAACAGAACAAGTATAAATGATTAATTTTTGGTTTTAATATAAAATTGTTAACAAATGATACAATGATAACCTCTTTCTATAATTTATACACACTTTTTCCAAATTTAACCTGTATGAGGT